GCAATTACACCAAGAGGTATTTCCCCTCCTTGCAAGCTCGTTCTGGCCGTCAGCTGTATTTTCTCCATCGGAATCCGAGAAATTTCGCATGGGTTCGAAGGAATAGGGTTCAAACTCAGCCATATTTTGTAACTGTATTATCAAGCGTTCTGTTGTCCCAAACTATACACAATATAGCTGCGAAAATCCGCGACTAATCACGACTAATGAAGGGCGAGAACACCAAAACATAGCACGCGGAGGCGAGCACGCAAAGTAGGAAAGAAAGCATGAGCGCTTTGACGTCACGAGATGGCGGACGGTAATCCTTATTTGGAAGTAACCGGAAGAGAATGCTAACAAAATGGCAGATGTTCAATTCCGGCGAATTCTCTTAGTTTTCTATTTGATTTGCACTGAAATACGAACTTTTTTCAGGCGATTCTTTGTAATTTATGTTCTTTCTACAATTTCAGATCATTTCAAAAATTATACCCTGTAGCCTTCCGTTCTCCTTTAAAGGGTTTTAAGTAATGTTATTCTAGTTGTAAGGTTTAGCTTGGTGAGATTGAAGGTTGTCAGGTTCACAATCCTCATTCAGTCTTGCATTTGATACAATCATGTCAAAATAATTCGGTGAAAATAATACATTTAATTTGATTTAACACACTTTGCCAGTTTCCTTCTCAATCCATAGTTTCTCACAAAGTGCATTCCTGACTTTATTTGTCTCCTGTGACGAATCCCTGATGCTTGAAGAATTTCTCATTTCCAACAGCTTTCTTATATCTTCTCGATATCTCTTTTGACCATTTGCATCCAAACTCAAGTTGAGCTTTTTTGAAATTGCATCTCCGTGTGCAATACATATATTGTGGAGAACCATGCATGCCAATGTCATAATGTGCACAGTATCTTGACTGCTTTCACATTTTCGGAGTAGCACCCTCCACCGACCCTCGAGTTGTCCATAAGCACCCTCTGTAACCATACGGGCTCTGCTTAAGCGGTAATTAAAGTTACGTTGCTGGGGTGCCAGGACTGCATAAGTGTATGGTTTCATTAACCATGTTCGTCGAGGGAATGCAGAGTCCCCCGCTATAGGTGGTGGAACAGTTACATCTCCTGCAGGTTTTCCAATTACTAGAATTAGGCCCTCTTGGATACGGGTCCAAAGGTCAGTTGATTTAAAAATAACTGCTTCGTGTGAATTTCCTGGAAACCCACAGCTGCCCCAGGATACTCTGAATGTTTTCTTAAACCTTGCCTCTGAATAGGTGTTGGTAACATTTTCCCACCAGCCAGTATTTCTTGTTAGCCGATGACAAGAACGAACTGCACAAGGAACTGTAATGTTCCTTTGAGAAATAAGCAGCAATAGAAGGCAAGCCAAATTCTAAACTTGTCTTCTCCTGGCAACGAGGTTATTTAATGCTAACGGTATCTTGATGCGCCTTCTTCTACCCTCTTTGATTGCACTTGCAAGAAAAACAAGCTCTTCATTTTCACAGTTTGTCTTTCCCGCAATTTTTTCCACCATTTTGATAAGCAACAACCGCTGACCGCAGTAGAGTCAAGCTCACCTTAACAATATTAAGTTCGACTTAATTAGGTGCAACGTTTGAATCAACTGTCAAACTTAATTATTTGGGTCGACCCAAATTGGTATTAGGTTCGGCACATGTAAAGTTTGACGTTTGAACCGGGCCTAAAAAGCCAAAATACTTTGTTGATGAAGACCATAAAACATTTGAGATGACACTTCATTGTCACCTTGAGATGACACTTCATCGTCACCTTGGTCATCATCTGGAATTAAGATGCAATAAAAGTTAGTCTCAGTTTACCTAGATGACACTTTGCTGTAGAAATGAGTAGCAAATTGAATATAACCATAAAGATGAAAATGTAACATCTTGTAAATATAGATTCTTTACACGTGTACAGAAGTTTAACAAAAACTAATAACTTACGGTACACTTTCCTCATTTGCTGACAAGAAGAGTCTGCAGATGAGATCAGAGCAAAATTGTTGAATGGTGTGACAGAACAGCTTGAGTTGACATACATGTAGTGACAGCAAAACAGAGTTCATTCTGAGAGTAATGAAGCATTTACAGAAAATGTAAGACAGTTGCAGATAAAAGGTCATCTCAATAATCACCATTTGTCTTTTGGAACATGAACAGAAATAGTCTTTGATACACATATAGAGGTTGAAGACAAAGTAATGACTTACAGTAAACTTCGTTTACTAGGTAAACAACATTAGAGCAAAATACTGATGCTAAAAAGCCAAAATACTTACTTTGTTGATGAAGGCCGTAAAACATGTGAGATGACACTTCATTGTCACCTTGAGATGACACTTCATCGTCACGTTGGTCATCATCTGGAATTAAGATGCGATAAAAGGTAGTCTCAGTTTACCTAGATGACACTTTGCTGTAGAAATAAGTAGCAAATTGAATATAACCATAAAGATGAAAATGTAACATCTTGTAAATATAAATTCTTTACACATGTAGAGAATTGTAACAAAAAGTAATAACTTACAGTACACTTTCCTCA